TTACTGTGTTAAAACACCTGCATTTTATTCATTTTACTGCATGTGTAAAATGTAAAATTTAGAAATGAGAGCTACCTTCCCTTCCTCTGTAACGCTAATCCAAGTAGACGTAGTCCCTCTCTAAAATTTCTACATTTTATATATGTTTAGGTATCAGCATCAGCAGATACGTACATGAAAAATATCAGATTTCAGCTGATATTCAGATATAGACCCTTACAATATTTGGTGTTTTTTAACTAAAAAAGGTTCTTCACACTCACTCATCTCATTTACATTCACTGAAATATTCAGTAGGGAACCCAAAGTGCTATCAGTAGCCAAAGGACCCATTTTGACACAGTTTTTCTTCTGTATTCTTAAAACAACGTTCTCAACTTGACACATCAATATGTCTATATAAGGTCAGCATAGACTGTGTTACTTTTAGCATAAAATATGTTACTGCAGTAAAAAAAATACATTTTATCTCAAATGAACATGTTACTAACATTTGACTTTGCATTTTCCTAGCTTGACCTTTCGAAGCATCCATAGTTCCAGGCCAAAGCCCAGCTGCTTACACTGTATATGACTACGACTCCATGTCGTGACCAAAGTCATTTCCAGCTACTGCCATGGTGAATTTGTTTATCAATGAAGTACATCAAGTCCGAAGCACTGTTTATAAGCAAAATGCATCACTGACATGGCAATAGCATTAGTATCAGTAACATTAACACAGGAGAACGCCTTCAACAGACAACACTGGACAGTGCTTGCAGGATGACGATGGATAAATCAACAACCCCCAAACTGAAAAAAAAAAACAGTAGCAAAGCAGAAAGATCCAGTTCCAGAGACAGGATGTAACATTGCTGTATGAAGGTTAGACTGGTGGCGGAGTTGGTACATGCAGCCACTCTTACTTTCAATAGATATCAGTGATGAAAACTGGAAACTGTGTTCACCTTCTTTTCATGTCCACTTTATGTTCATGTGATTTTTTTTTTTCAGTTTCAAGCTGAGTTATTAGAGGTAATAATTCAGATTAAGCTTATTTTTTTCAATAATATGGCCGTAACAAACTCTTTAGGGTCAAATTAGAGCAAATAAGGCCAGTGCACTTAATTGTGATTAGGATAGGTCCGGTCCTAAAGTCTGATTAGCTGAGCCGCATTCGAAGCTGTTGTAAAATCCAGAATATACACACGCCTATGACCGCCTTATGGCAACTGAATTGTATATAACAGCACCACAGCATGAAAAACCCTTGTGCTGTTACTAGAATAATCTTTGACTCTCATGCTACTCGCATGGACCACTGAGTATTTTGATGAGCTAAGAACCCATTTTTTGCTTAAACTGAGGGGCTGACAACTTATGTTCTTTACTAGAACTAGGCTGGTCAGCTAGCCAACAGGCTAAAAGATAGCAAACAGCCCAAACAACTCCATCATTAATATCACAGGCTTAAATTAAAGTACTTATCATATGATTAACTGTAATCAGCAGTGTAAAAGTCTAAAAATGTCACTTGAATGGACCACATGCTTCAAATGTTTGTGTTTCAGTCAGAAGTCACGTCAAACCCAGGCTGAATCCCAAATGGCTCCATACTCCCTACACAGTGTGCTAGCTATGAAAGCTTAGAAATTCTAGTCTCTACAGAGAAATAGTGCCTCATTTATCGAGTATGGATGTGTCTGAGTCCCAAATGACTATTTCTTAGCTGTATTTTGCACTGTTGGGGTGCAGAATCCAGTATTTAAACTCCTAGGTAGTGCACTATGTAGGGAGCAGGGAGCTGTTTGAGGTTCAGGCCCAGCGCAAGAAGAGCGCACCGCTGGATTGGTGCTTAATAAGACTTGCGGTGGTAATTTGGTGACCAAAAAGTACTTTTGCATTAGTTTTTTTAAGCTTTTGCATTAAACAGTGCTGTGTTATCAAATGTATGTAATATACAGTGATGGGCGACCAAGCGTTCTCCTCATTCAGCAATCCATGGTTGCTTAGCAATGATATGGCACTTTTAAGGAACTACTATTTCTTGGCGGAATACTTATTGATGTCAATTATTATTAATGATAACTTAAATTATTTTCTGGCAAAGTGTGTATTTAATCATATTTCATGTTGGCCGCCGTTTTGTAAGAGCGATAAGCAACTTAAGGCTGTGCGTTACTGTGATTTTATCACAGGGAAGGGAGTTTAACGCACCCTAAGAACACCTTTCCTGAGATAAAATCACAGTAACCCACGGCCTCTTGTGGCTTTTTGCTTTATTAAAGATCTTAATTGTTTGACACTCCTAGCTGAAAGTAACACAGGGGTTAAATTATGTAACAATATGACACAAAAGTATGTTGTTGTTTAGTACATCCTTTCTGGGAGTAGCATCACAATTTCTCAAACAGAACAGCATGGCATTGCGAACTAGTCTACATAGTCCAAAATTCACCAGCACAGCTTCCATCTGTAGACAACCAGCAGCAATAACGTGCAATACAACTGCCATGTGTTTACACCACAGTGAAGCCTCAGGACTCTTAAAATAACACGCAACCATGCTGTTCCTACTGATAAGCACTGTCAACTATTTATGGCAAAGTAAAGACCTGTAGTCACATCTGAGCTTTCAAAATAGCATACAACCATGTTATTTCTACTGTGGCTAAGCACCTTCACACAACCATGTTATTTCTACTGTAGTTAAGCCAGCACTCCTTAAAAACAAAAGGTGACGTCTTGTGGACACCATGACTTCAGCTTAAATGACACGTTTGGAGAAGATGTGGCTAAGCTTATGCAAACAAACTGATGAAATTGTGCAATTTCTTCATTTCGAGTTTGAGCTTAGTGTTGCACTCAATGGCTACCAGCCCTGGTCAGTTCAAATCAGCTGCCAAACTGACCTGAAGATGCTAAAGGTGAGTAGCCTTTTAAACAGTAGACTAAAATCCACCATTCAGATTTTAAAAGCTAACTTACCAAAGGCTGTTTTGACTGAGAAAAGGCACAATCTAAGACAGAAATAGCTTAAAATGATAAGAAAAAGTTGTGAGGACTCACGTTGAGTTGACTCAAGAAAGCGTAGAAGTGCTGCAGTGAGTGAAGAGAACAGGAAGTGAACTAACTTCTCTTAAAAGCGCACACTGTCTCAGAACATGAACATGAAGGGGATTCACACACCAGAGAAGAAGAAAAAAGATGTAGCGTTGCAGATTTTGTCTAGGTACACTTTTTCTCTGGAAAGCACCTCTTAGTTCGGCTTAGGCTGGAGGCACGTCAAGCTGTGTCTTCAAATGTTGCATAACTCGTGCTATTTCTAGAGGGAAGAGCTGATTCAGGGTAAATTGAAAAAAAAAAAAATAAGCACCCTGTATACATGCTTCATTTCCACTGAATACTGACCTTGTTGATCTGTGGTCAGAACCAAAGCTTACACTTAAAAATGAATTTTCAAAATTCTTGTGTAATTAAATGGTCAAGATGTGAAAAAAAAAGACATTCGGAGCCATTTGATGTGAAATTCTCCATTCTGTATACACTTACCAAGTCGGAATTGCTCACAGCGGTGGTGATAGGAACCAGACGTCCGAAGAATTTAATCGCTTAAATGGCCAGGGTCTTTGGCTTGGATGTGTGGTTTTACTAAAAGCCTTTAAACTTATTGGACTGAATGTCTCACTGATGATCCATTCCGAGAATTTGCTCATGGCCTCTTAAACTCATTTAGCCCCTCAAACGTTCAGGGCCCACCAGCGGACCCAAAGTTTTATTACGCACTTCTTTAACCTAAGAATAGCTCAGCCAGTTTGCACTGAAATCCCTGAAGTTACTGAATAATAAGCCTTTGTAAAAAAAAAAACCTGGAATTTTAATGGGTTAATGCTTCTGAAAGCTCCCTCACAGAACGTTATGACATGAAATGGTTATAAACACTTCGTAATGTTCGACACATTGTTTTACGATAGTTTCGAGTTTTCAAGGTTTTGGCTTAAGTTGAAAACATTAATGGTGGAGAGGTACATGCTGGACGTCGTAAGGCAAAATAGTCCACAAAAAAAAACTCATATTTATCACTATTTTACAATCAACATTACATATAAACACTTAGAAGGCACACATAGGTTCACTGGTAGTTTTGGTTAGTAAATAAAATGTATTTATGCTGTGGACATGGTGACCCCTGGTTCCTATCACAACCACTTTAAAGGAATGTGAGTCGATTAGTTTCTCTACAATGAACCATTTCACATCAAACCACTCTGAATGACTGTTTAAATCACAAGTCTTGATTTTTAGATTTTAAAAAATTCTATTAACCATGATTAGTCCACAGAAAGTACAAGGTTCTATACCGATGTCAATTCTGCTTAACGCAAGTCTGCAAAGCTCTGTGCTGTAGGTAGGACTGATTAGCGCGACTGGAAATAGAATCCATTCACTCGGCCTCCTGAACACCTTTCAGCATTCGCACTCCTAATTAACTCAAATTAAAGGGATGGAATTCTCACTCTCTGTGACTTGAACACTTGCTCTGCAATAGTGTGAATTTCCTGTACATTACAGTATTAGCTTCTTCTGTTGCAGCCCTTTCAAAATCCCATTTTTTCTGCTTTTTTTCAACAGTTCTTTTGCTTTCCCACAAGATGTGCACACAGGAGGATGTTAAAGCAGCTTTACAAATGGCTAAACAATGTTAAAAATGGGAATCTAGCCAAAGACGGTCCATAGAAAGCGCAGTCCTGACTTTCAGCTTCCTTGTAAAGAACACATCGATGTCTCTTGCTTTACTGCTAAATTGCTTGAGCTTTTTTTGCAGTCATTAAGTTGCCCTTTTCGAACTGAAGTCTTAAGACTCCTCAAACTTCTCCTCTCTCTTTTCATCTCAAGTATCTCAAGAGTGCTTTGCCCTGTTTGCACTTCTCAGGGTATTTTATGGGTCAAACAAACAACTGAGTGCTAGCGAAGTCATACTGATACTTTTCCCCAAAAAGGTTTAGAAATTACTCTACCTCTTCAGACCGCCTGCAGCTTCTCTTCTGTTGCAACAGCTTTCTGCTCTTATGGGAATGCAAAGACTCGCTTTACGCCCCTGTAAGTGGAATATTTGGTTGTCACCAAATGTTCACCGCTTCTGCTTAAATCTCATCCTGCATCAGTGCACATCTCCTCTGGCATCTACCTCATTGTCCTTTGTGTCATAAATACTTTCATTTAGTCAAGATCAATGAAAAGGCTCTGGATTATTGTAGTTCTCTTGCATGCAGTTTCATGACAGCTGCAATAAACACATTTCTGGTCCTGCATGAAGTTCTCTGCACATTCTATTCAATGTAACCACATTCTATGGCATTTTCCCCCTATAATCCATTATAAAACAGTTAATCCTCTCATAAACTTTGCAAGTAATCATTTTTAAGCTTTTTTCTCTTATTGCAAAAGTGACCTAATGGATTTAAAAGCTCAGTGTCTTTTCAGTCGGAATAACACTCTTAGTGTTAATAAAGAAAATGAGAAGGAAACAAAATCTACTCACCAGATTATAGCCGCTTTTGGTAGTTGCGCAGGATGAACTAGTACAGTATGCCTCGCTCTCTGACTCACTGGAGATCCTTTGTGAAACTTATGTGAACTTCCTGGCTGTCTTAATGCCTGGGCTGTTCAGACAGGACCTCACAGCGGGGCGGTGTGGACGTCCCATTGGCTGTCATTCCACATGAAATTTGACACCTGCCCAAGTTTCACCTGCAGTGTGCTGACTCTTATGCATGGCATAATGAAATGCATGTGTTATACAATATAAAGCTTTAATATATAAAAGATTTTATATATATATATACATCATCTAAACCGTTTATCCTTCTGGGTCGCGGTGGGATCCCAGCTGTCATTGGGCGGAAGGCAGGATACAACCTGGACAGATCGCCAGTCCATCGCAGGTCAAGCTGACAAATATATATATATATATATATATATATATATATATATATATATATATATATATATATATATATACACACCGATCAGGCATAACATTATGACCACCTCCTTGTTTCTACGCTCATTGTCCATTTAATCAGCTCCACTTACTATATAGGTGCACTTACATGTAGAACTATACATATAGAAAACCAAAATTGTATCATTTTTGAAATATATTTTAATATATATTTGATAAATATTTTATGGGCTGTATGCATTCTGTCATTGCTTCTCATGGCAAGGTATTGTCCGAAAGAAATCAGATAGCAAAACTTCACATGGGAAATGGGTGCAAGAGCACTGGTAAACCATAGGCCGAAACCCAGCTGCAGCTGTTATTAGGAAGTACCAAAAGAGCTACACTATCAGTAACCAAAGGTGCAGTGGCCGCCCTAGAAAGATGACAAAGCACACAGTCCACTATTTACCCAACCTTCCACTGAAAAACACATGGGCCAGTGCTTCCAGTTTAGCACAAGATTTATCTTCAGAAATCGGCCTTTCAGCAAATACCCAGACAGTGTATCAGACCTTGCATAAAGTCAACCTATACAGATGGCATCGAAGAAGGAAACTGTTACTTACAAACAAGCACAAAAATGCATGACTAAGCCTCACATAAGAACATCCTCTGGTCAGATTAAACTCAGATTAGCTTGTTTGGATCTGATAAGATTCAGCCTAGACCTGGCCAAAGCTCTCACAGTGACTGCATAGTCTCAACATGGTGGAGGTAGTGTGTTAATATTGGGCTGGAGGGGAGGTCCCATGAAAATATCAGTACTGAATACATAGATTGAGAGTCTTGGCCGGAAAGGAATGTTCCAACACAACAATGATCCTAAACACTTTGAAAAGCACACAAGATTTTTAATGAAGAAGACAGTAAGATTTGTCACCTGACAAGGTATTTCGCCCAACCTGAATCCTATAGAACAATGCTGGGGACTCTTAAAGAGCAAGACAGAGGAGCGCAACCCCTCTAGCAAAGAAGAACTGAAATAACATGCTAAAATTGAACAAACTGGTAGATGATTGGATGCATAAGTCCGTATATATTTCTTACTGCTGTGTCTGAGACACTCATACCAGCACCACCCTACCATGTCAGTGTTACTGCTGTTCTGAGAGTGATCTACCCTAATAACATCTGGCCAGAGGTTCATTTTTACTTCGCAGCTACACTCTGTTATTCTGTTCTTATAAATTACAACTGTATGGTAGGTGCAGGCCCATGCACAGAAATTTGAAGGGGGCAGGGGCTCAAGGGGAATAAAGGACAACATGAACGTGAATAATAGTCATTTAATTTACAGTACATTGCAATCACTCTTATCAAGAGAGACAATGTATCATATTTGAGAAAAATGCCAATGTAAGGAGTTTTTCCAAAGGCAGCCAAGAACATTGATGTTGCTTTCTATACAGGGGTTTAAACCTAAGTTGAGAGAATGTAAAGTCATATTGTTACTCACTACACCTTTAATCGACCACATAGTATTTAGTTATAACTCTGTTCAAGAGCTCCACAGTCTTTTTTAATAAGAACAACTTGATGCATTGAGCTTATTTGCTGATATTATGTTTGGTTGTTTTGGAATGTGACATTTTCTTAAAGAGATTATCGGTTTTTATTGGTTTTATTGATGGTAGTTCCAGTGCTGTGGTGATGTATGACAGGTCAGGATTACTGAGGAGAACCACAGGTGTTTGGTACTGCACCATAGAGGGCGCCCAAGAGTGATGAATCTCATAGAACTCAAGCCGACTCACTGCTCTTAATTTGATTCATTACATAATTTGGTAACACTTTATTTAAAGGCCAGCTGTGTAAAGATTTCATAACACATGGATAAGCATTGAATCATGTATTTATAGTTTAGTATTTATGAATAGCTTATCATGTAGCTTATCAACTGCTAATCACAAGATGACATAGGATGTTTTAAGTGAAGTAAGCCTGGTGTTTTAAGCTGTTGTCATCAAGGTAACAGAGATTTATTAATTTTGTAACACCTTAAAAACTACTTTTGTACTTAGAAATACATAAAACTGATATAATGTTTTATCTAGGTCTCTGCATAGCCTTGTATAAGCTCTATCACTTGAGACGGATTCTCTAGAACAATGTTATACATTGAGCAAGATGCCCATCATGTTAGTTTAAGGCCCCTTATGTCAGTACAATGTAATTTACTTCGTAAAACATCTCATGTCATCTTGCAATTAGTTGTATTGACTCCACACACCCTGCCTCATCTCCAGGCTTTTTTATTTTACTGTTCTGTTTTAAAACATTGGCTTATGAAAAAGTACAAATATGTACTTTTCACCTGGAAAAAACTTATTTAAGGTGCACAATTGGACCTTAAAACCACCTTTGAGGGAACATTTTTTCATTTATCAAGGTACAAACAATGTAAATGCACCTGCACAGAACCCTTATTTCTCACAGTGTAAGCTAATTTCTTTTGTGTTTTGCTCAATCTTATCCCTTTCCCAAAAGGAAGATAAGGCAAACATCTGGAGTCCTGCGAATACTAAAGAGTAAAGGTCTCAGTACGGGCTGTTTGGAACAATGCCACAATGGAACATCCTTTCATAAAGAATCCTTGGTAACACTGTTCATATGAAATGGCAACTGACCTAAACATACATGAACATTGATCAAAGCTTATCCTAACAGATGTCATCTGTCATAAAGTTGGCTTTTGTCAACTCTGGTGACAAGTTGGCCTAACACCTTTGTCAGTTGACACTGATTTTGTCTGACACTGGATCTTCTTGACACTTGTTTTGGGTGAAATGACCGAGCACATTGTAACAGCTGACATTGTATCTTAGTGTACATCACAGTGATATAATGCTGATGATGTGGCATAGCAGTTATCAGTTACTTTTAGATTGCTTGTCTTTTGAAAAGGACGTAATTCAATAAAGAAAAAAAGGCAACAAGTTCAGAAACCAGTGCATAGCTAACCTGGAGAAAATCTGAGTGATTTTTACAGAAAAAAAAAATGAAAACTTTTTGTACACTGAGATTAAAATACAGGGAAGCAAATAATCACTGTGATTCAGGCTATTGAGTTTCACAACTAAGCAAATGCAAGTCGTGTTAAAAACTATGCTGCTCTCTTGGGATTTTGCCTCATTTGTTAAGATCTGTTGCTTACCATACCAGTCAGAAGAGGTCAAAGATCAGTCCCGTAGAAATCTTTGGGACCCTTCATCAATAATGATTATAAATTGAGGTCATTGTAAAAACTCTGACTGGCCATCAGTTGTGCTCTATTAGCTAAATAGGTCTATGCGGGGTTCATAAAGGTTAATAAGGCTTTATATTGGTTTGCTGTTGTATGTCGATGTTCGCCAATGCTGATGTATTTTGTAGGCACTCCTTTAGCTATAAACAAGTTTAAAAAGATTAAAAAGCTCATAACCCTCTAAGGTATGCTTATAATGGCAGTTGGCAAACAAATGTTGTAATGTTTTGTCATAAAATAGACTAAGTGAAGGAAATTTTCAAAAAATAATTTTTGGAGTAGCAAGCAATGAAAAAAGAGAGTTATTGCTTTTTTCAATAAAATTAATTACAATACACATGATATTATTCAGTCACCTCACCAGTTTAAAATTTGTGCCATTTGAAAGTAAAAATGTAAAAAATGAACTCTTTTCATAAGTTTGTTTGTGTGAACGTTACCCTCAGACAACATTGTACCATTATGGAACAGCCTATAGGAATGAATGCTATAAAGAGTGGAACCATATTTCAGCAAAATTTACATCAACAGTTTACCAAACCAAACAATTATAACCCTCTGCGAAACAAGACAGTGTGTCATATTTAGTGTTTGATCATTTGTGTTACATTTAAATGCTTGTTTTCAGTGACTTTGCACTGTTATAGGAAGTTACGTAGTGTAAGGGCCTGAAATTTATTCGAATTAAATTAATCAACTTCATCTAAGCTAAACTGGGAAGATGAAAAAGAAAAGTATGATGACGGTTATACTTTTGAACAGTATGTTAACCTAAATACATAATACCAAAGCATGTTATGGTGTGAATTCAAAAAGGTATGCTGTTACTTCGAGGCAACGTTTGCATTTTGACAATTTTACATTACTCAAATATCAAATAAAGTACATGAATCAATTACAAATTAAACTTTACTCACATATTATTATGAATTTATTTTTTTCCAGATTGCATGATGGCAGAAAAAGATGGTTTCAGACCAGTTTTGTGGGGAGAGATGATGTGACGAAGGCCTCAAAAAAGAATTTAACATTACTTACAAAGAGTCATGTGAAATATTAAAACACTGCTGTTTGTTTCCTTAGAGTCCTGCCTCTTTTTTAAAGTATTGCATCATAATTGAGGATGTATTATATGAATGTAACAGGCCAAAAATGGGTATGTTGCCTAGAGGCAACACTCATAGGGTTAATTTCACCTGAAAACTCAGTGCTGTTATGTTTATTTGGTATGTTATCTAACAAAGCCGGAAATTCACAGATTTTTATTTAGTTCGTCTCACAAAGCACATTTTAAAACACAACAAATAAATGAATAGGAACATAAAACACACCACACTAATGTAGAAAACATGGTTCTGCACGGATAGCTCTAATTCT